CAGATTATATCGCTTAACCTAGTATTTTAATGATTTGTAAATGTAGATACACTTTTAATCAGCTGTTTAAACAATGAAGTAACTGATAATACAAGTCTGTTTTTCTTTTCATAGGTAACAGTATTAGGATACTAGAAAAGCTTTACTAGGTGGTTCAGTGTTACTGGATTGAAAAAGTGGTCTTCTTTTAAAGAGCGTTTTCAGGCTTTTAAATACTTTAGCCCTGCAAATGCCTCATTTTGGCATTTTACTGTCCTAAATATGCATCTTCATGTAGCCAATGGCAATTTAGGCAGCTAATGAGGAGAAGACATCCAACCCCTGTTATGAGTCTGGCTCTTAGCACATTTAGTGCTACAGGCCATGAGCTTGGGGAACAAAGTATTTTGACAGAGATTTCCCCTGCCTCCCCCCCTTCAAGTATACTAGAAGTACGCATTGCCTTTTCTTAGTACTCTTTGGCCAGTGTCTGGGCCGTATCACTTGTTCTGTAAAAGTTAGCCTTAATTATATTTACTGAAATTGTGAAAGAATAGCAAATACTTAGAATTCACTCCTGTTCTTTCATCCGGCAACTGCTTTTAGATGCTACGAGTTGGTTTATTTGCCATTGTTTTACATTCAGGTAGCAGCTGTTTTCTGTTACATCTTGCTAGCAGTCCAGTCAACATTTTGTTTACGCATATCAAGGAATCGTGATCTTGTAACGCTTGCAATAAATATTTTAATTATAAGGCTTAATCTGACCAGTATGTGTGCAACTTATAAAGTGTTATTTCTTATCTAACATTTTTTGTTTGTAAACTTACTGTGATTTTAAAACATCTCATGCATTGTTCTTAACTTCTGAAGTGCTAATGAATTTTTATTAGTTTTACTTAGCTTGTATACAGTTTATTGGGGTTTTTTTTCCCAAGCACTAAGAAATTACTGTCTTTTATCAAGAGCTCTTGGACCATTGTTTTCAACCTCTTGGTCCAGCAGAGAACCTTTTTCTCGTTTAGAAATACCCAAACTTTTATTTGGCCAGAGCAAGGGTGTTTCGTAAAATGCTTTGTTTTCTTGCCACAAAAACTCTAGGAAGCCCTGTTACGAAAGAAATGCTGTCAAGTGGCTTTCCTCCTGCCTTTATCACTGATGTTCAATAACCATTCAAAACTTACAGGGGTCAGGTAAGAGCTTTCTTAATAGAGCAGTGACATTATTTCTGGTTAGCCTCCGATATGTTACATTTGCTGAGAGCTCCAATGCATTTTTCATTTGATTTTTTGTTTTGTTTTGGTTTTGTTTTGTGGTTTCTCATCTTTTACAGAAGGGATTTTATTTTTTTTTAAGTTTAGTTTAACCAACTAAATCTGCTAATGGGTCCACTGAGCAGTTATTCAAAAGTGTTTGCTAATGTGTTTTGCTTTAGGAAAATATCCAAAATAGTTGGATTGAAAATGCAGCATGCAAAGTATTTTTCCAATAGCAATATTTGGAAAATCTATGTGAATGGTGCTGTATGCTCATTGTTGCATATATGTGTGTGTTAAGCTGCGACAGCTTAAATGAATACTTCAACACAACAAAATAAGTACTTGAAGACAAGAATGAGCAACTCTGAGTGCTTGGCACATTCTTTAGAGCTTCAAAATTACACCTTTTCTGGCATGATAATTAAGTTTGTTACTTCTTTATTTTAGCTCGGTCTTTTAAATATTGATCCTGCAAAGACCTTGAGTGTGTGATTAACAATTAGTGGAAGTTTTTAGGCAGCTAAAAGTAGGCAGGTTCTTCAGTCCTTGCAGGATTCGTTAATGTTTATATTCTTAAGAAATATTTAATTCTTTTTGCTGTAATGCAAACTGTTTATTTCTGAACATCCTTTCTGTTTTTGTAAGCTTTTATTAATGGGATATTTTAAGTGGAATTGGGAAAATGTAACTTCTATTGGAAGAGTAAGAAGAAAGGAAAAATACTGTAATTAGTGAGGGGAAATAAATAGCAAACTCTAATGTGAGATTTCATGCACTTCACCAACAACAGAAACACCACAATATTCACCAACTTTGCTGATACGTCACTCTTCAGTGAAAATTAAAAAAAAAGTTCTTGAGTGTGAGTATTTCAAACAGCATATATGAAACAACGTCTTGACTGCACTAATTCTTAGTGCTGTAACTGGGGAAGTGTTATGAACTACCTGGCAACACCCTGTCGGTGTTTGGGTGTTAAGAACCTGATTTATTTCACATTAGCTCTTAAGTAGACACATTTCTTTGTGCACGTTCATTATAGCATTGACGAGTATTGTAAGCTGTCTCTTCAGAATTAGTATTATCAGGAGAAAGCTGCTTTTATAATCTTTTGTTAATAAATTACCAATAGTGAGGAGCTGACTGAAACCTGAGGGTTGTCTTCATGCTTACCTGTCTTCATTGCTTGTTTATAATTATGTGCATTTCTCTGTATGTGTGTGTGCATAGATATATATCATTCACTATGTATGTTCATATTTGTTCCTGCAGTAAGTTTGTGACTTTCTAGGAATCAAAACTCTCAACTGGATCTTTGTTTGTGTGGGTCAAAGATATACCTGTCTGGTTCTTGGTTTGTTTAATCTTTTTATATATATATACACCATACAGTTGCCTCTAGAGAGTGAAGATCCAAAGAAGCTAGAGATGTGATGAACCAAAAATTAGAATAGTGGCGCCTGTGTTACATAAGATGTTCTGAAGTCAAATATGTTCATGAAGTCAGAACCAGTCTCTAGGAAGTTCATGTTTATAATTAAATTACTACTGTGAATCATCTCTTTTACTGCAAAGAAAAATGCAAGCTATTTCGTGTAAATGTTTCACTTTGTTTAAAACACTTCTGCTACCTGAACAGAATCTGCTATTACTTGTTAAATCTTGTAAGATTAAAATATTAAAATGCCTAATTTGTTTTTGTTCTCACATTGTAGGTTTTGACTTTTGCCTATAAGCACGCATTGGTAAATAAAATGTATGGAAGAGGTCTCAAGTTTGCCACAAAACTTGCAGAAGAGAAGCCTACGAAGGACAACTTGAAAAACTGCATTCAGGTAAGGTGTATTTGGTAAAGTAATGAGCTATGTTCACACTGAGTAAGCCTTTAAAAGCATGATAAGTATTTTTGAATTTTTGATACCTTTTACGTTGTAGAACTCACTAAACTTGGCATTTTCACTTTATCCGGGCTTTTGTGGCTCGGCCTCCATTTTTAATAGTGATTTTTAAATTCATTTTCTAGAATAGCTAGTTTGTGAGTCACTGTCATTTTTAGCAGTTTTATTTTCTGGACCTTACTTTGGAACATGAGGAAAGTAGAGACAGCTTAGCCAAAGATCTTGTGTATAACCCCATTATGTTGCTATTTAACCACTGTTATTTTTGCTGTTATTAATCACAAATATTGCTGGTAGAATATAGGTGGAGAATTAAAAGGAATTACTGTAACTCCTAGGACAACATTTTGTGCATTGAGTTGAAAGACTCTAGATCATACAGAATGGTTTTCTTTTTCCCCTTTCAGGACTAAGTAATTCACAGTTCACCAGTTCTCCAACCTGTCACCTTGCTGATAACCGACATCTTTAGTAAGATGTTGATATCAGTGCAGTGTTTGTTGGAAGGATTTATGTTTTAAAAATAATAAAACCCTAGAGCTTCTAATTCTTTTTTTATTGTTTGCTTTTTTTTTTCTTCAGCTGATGAAGTTGCTTGGATGGACTCATTGTGCAACTTTCACTGAAAATTGGCTTCCTGTTATGTATCCACCTGATTATTGTGTATTCTAGAAAACCAACACTTGTAAACTTAGTGATTTTTATATGGGGCAGGATATGAAAAGATAAGTTTGACTTTTTATTGGAACGCATGTTTTCATTACTGAATGCTGATTATTAAATTGTGTGTATTTATCAGTAAAGACACCTGGGTACAGCTTAATACCTGTTAACCTAACTCCTGTCACCAGAGAGTTTCCTTATTGAGCATACCATTGCTGGCAATGGATGTGCCAGAACTGCCAACACCAGGGATTTGGAATTAGGCTGGAAAGGCTTCCTGCATGCATGTTCAGTTCTTAACTGTTACTTTTAACTGCAAACCTGTAAAAGTTCTGTATTTTTTACAGTAAACTGAATTTTAACATGTTTGATCTTAATTTCAATTGTATTGAAGGCCTTAAAGCTACTTCAAGAGTAGCTAAAATCTTATTTATTAGACTAAAGTAACAGGACATCATTACCTGTATTGTTTGCAAGAGTTTACATTTAATTTTTTTTAAGAAAAATTCAACCTCTCAAACTGTTACAATGTGTAACTCGGAATTGCTGATGCATAGGTGCTCTTGTAAATCTTCATTCTGGAGCTATTTCAGGCAGACTCAAAAATCCATGCGAAGCTGAGTATCAGGAAAGGCTGATACATGTATAAAAGTGCCAGACAGTTAAATCTTGATCAGGTATTGTAAAGCTATATACATATATGTTTAATAATGTTCAAAATGTAAAACACAGCAGAATAAATGTGCAGCGTTGAAGATCAAAGAACACCATGTGCACTCTGATACTTAAAAGATTATTTTATAATTAATAAAAACAAATAATGAAGCTAAAAATTGTATTGGTGTCTGAAAGAGTACATAAATTACATTTCCTGAAAGAACACACCTTACAGACAGCAGAAGTTCAGTGCAGCCCAGAAGATCAATGCTTTCAGTTGAAACCTTTTTACTCTTAACTACTGCTACTGACATTGTTCCTTCAATGGAGTGAAGTTGGTCTCTTTGAGCAGGTCATAAGTACCAACCAGAGACAAATTTCTGTATCATTTGTCTTGCCCGTTTTGTCAGAACTTGTAATGCAAAACTCAGATACAACTGCAACTTTACAAACATAAATGTACAGAAGGTGCACTGTAATGCTCCAAAAACATTCCGAACCGTAAGGTGTTGCCACTAAATCAAAATTAGAAATAGTTTTCCCTTTAGTTCTCTCTTACTGTGGCTTTAAGCAGCTTGACATTTGATTCTGGAAATTCTGCTAGAATGGTTGTGTTAAATATATTGCAAAGTTTTTCCAAAAATTCATAGTCTGTACTGAATCTGAATTTATTTGCCCATAGTAGTACTGTTCCTGGCTTACAGAAATACACCATTGTTGCTAGCAGGGGGTCTAGAGCTGTATGGTGGTACACAACATCAGTTGCTAGTATGAAATCATAGTGGTGAGTCGATACAGGAAAGTCTTCATTGAGGCCTTCTCCCCACACCAGTTTCCTCACTTCAGGTTTGTGCTTAGTCATGTTTTGTGTATTTCTTGAAATATTATATGACAGATTTTCGAGAACTTCAGGCAAGTCGGTAGCTGTAACGTAAGCTCCTAAAGAAAACACGAGTTTGTTTCAATTCATAGGTACATAGTTGGACATATAAAACTTTATCTCCATAACTTCCCCAGCTTCCCACTCACCAATAGGTAGGGTAGTTAGTTTAGAAAAACATATTAGCTTACAATAATTTTCATTTAAAAAAAATAAACAGTAATAAGGTTTACTTCAACTGTTGCTTCACTGCCTTCAAGTGACAGTGGCAGGTCTAGATCATCTTTCACAAGAAATCCAAAAGGAAATACAAATTTACTAACCTAAGATACAGGCCACAATGGAAAGCAAGCCTGTTCCAGCGCCAATTTCCAAAACTTTTTTGTCCTTGAGGTTGAATTGTTCTTGATTTGATTCCAGATATTGAGATAAAGCCAGTGCCTAAAATGATTAACACATATCCATAAGAGTATCACAGGTAAGTTGCATAAAAATTCATTATATGTTTTTATACAGGTTTTTTTATATACAGTGAAAATCATGGAAGACTGTAACATAAAAATGTAATATGGAAGAATTATGATGTGTCCTGTTTTTTTATATAAACTCCAAAAACTTTAAACAGCTTAATTTTAGTTTTAGGTTAATGGGATATGGATTTGCTATACACACTTTTATTACACTGAGTCCTCTGACAGCTCAAGGTAGGCAGTGTTTAGATGTAAACCATATAGTCAGAACAGCAAACAAGAGGTTTAACATTAGATAAAAAGAAAAGTGCTGGATTATTATCATAAATGTTATAATTTATAATCACTATAATTCAGGCTTCAGCAGAAATTTTTTTTAAAACTATTTTTTTGTTTGTTTGGTGTTGTGTTTTTTTTCCAAAGGAAATACTAAAAATTTGTAATTTACCAACTCAACACCTGTGTATTGATAATATTTCTAACTTTAAGAAAAAAAAGGGGGAAGAAGAAAAAAAATCAACCACCACAACAGCACTGTATGGAAGTTGTGCTTATCAAACCTTGGTAAAGATCTTATCAATAGAATGTGAATCATCTGTTTATAACCAACATAAACTAATGCCAAAGAAACTACCTTCCCCCTTTTTATTCCTCTTCTTTAGAGCTGTGTTACTGTTCTAACTCCTGCGCTTTCCATAATGCCACCCTGGCTGTCTGCTCTGGGAAAGCTGACAGCAATGAATCACCAGGCCGATTCCTGCAGCCTCTCGATTTTCTTGGAAAGTTTTAGCATCTGCATTCTGACACCTGGTTAAAGTGAGAACTGATGAGCTGACATTTTAAAATAAGATACTGTTTCGCCCACCCATGCGTTTCTTTTTTTCTATTGTTTTGAAATTGTCTGCCATTTTCTGTGAGCTTTTTCAATAAATGTGGATCTGAAAAAAATTGAGATCCTAACTTTCATGTCTTTATCATGACCCTTTCTTCCCTCAGAGGGAGTTTTCTCAATCCATTTAAACTCTGTTTTTAAGAGCAGGAGAAGCAAAGGCTGAAGAACTGTTTGCAAATACTCTTTTCCATACTGCAGTGCGACTGTCCCAGCCTGTTCTTTAAAAGCATATTTAATTGTTTTAACCTCCTTTATTTAATCTCTCACAATTTCTTTTTTCAGCCTCCTTTTTGTACTGCTGACTGTTTTCTTCCCAGCAGCGACTGATTAGAAATATGGAAAAAGCTGAACACATCTTCCCAGGTTCCTTAATTTTTTTACAATATCTGCATCCAATGTACAAACACATGCCACAGTTCTTTTGGTGTGAACTGGCAAATTAGTGTAAGACAGAGCTTTCTGCTGAAGCACTTCACAGCTTTGTTCAGCATTTGGAAACCTCTGCTGTCAGAAGTGTCATCTAAGCAATTCCCTAATATTTGTGTGCCACTGTCATGGTTTGCTCTGCAGTTGTGTCAGCTTTTTGGGTGCTGTATCATGTACTTACCCCTGGCCACACCACAGCTCCAAAGTGTTCAATGGACTCTTGGATGACGATCTGGTGGCCTGCGTACGTGTAGTGCTCTTTATCAAAGTAGTGGGAAACTCGAGGAACCCAGTTCTGTACTATTTTAAGAATCACGGGTGTATCTATGAGAGAAAAGACACAGTTTGTATTTATTTCATATGCAACTTGTTAAAAAGGTATTTTGTTATGATAGTAGGTAGGCACACAGACTAGAAAAGCTGTCAGGTCATTGGCCTCCAGACTGGTTGCTGTCCAGAAGTGGGCAGTCTGGCTGGCCAGGGAGTGAAAGGAGCAATAGTCCTTTTTTGTAGATTTTGTCTGATAATAAATATAAATATAAGGAAAATTTAGGGAGGAAAAATAGACATCAGAAAAGTGACACAGTGACATCGTCTATTGAAAGACTGAGAAAAGTGGACATATGAAATGTTGGCATGCCATGGCAATTGCAGTATTTAAATTGGATTAAACCTGAGTCGGATTCTGCTGTTGGTGCATGCTTGGAGCTGCAAGTGCAGTTTTCAGAGTCGTACTGCTCTTCGCAGGCTTCTTCTTCCTCAGTGTGGCAGTCCATTACTCTTTGAATTTTGTTGGGGAATGGTGGCTGCTGTGCAGAGATCATGGCAAAAGAGCTGAAATGGAAGGGGAAAAATAATGTAAAAGCTTGGGGGCTCTTTATATGAGATAGGACTGGAAGAAGAGTGAGTCATTTGGGTGAGCTTTGGTTTGGGGGTTGTTTCAATGAGTTGAAGGTACAGGAAGCTATGATGAGAGGTGACATCCCCACTCCACTGGAAATTGCTGCAAGCATTTTCTGATAATGCAGTAATGCTATCAGATTTTTTTTATTTTATGATGTTTATCATATTATTTTATGCTTACCACTTATGCAAAATCTTAGCATTATGTCACTGAGGTGAGGCCACTGATCAGCCTGAAAAGTGAGCTACGTGCATGGTACTCCCATCAGTCGAAGCAACAGCTGAGAAAGATCAACTGTCTTTTAATGTCTATGACTTCGCTGTGTAATTTACTGTTTCCCAAAGAACTCTGGACTTGGTATCCCTGCAATAATAGTTTGCTGCAGCCAGTGCTCTGGATTTTGTCTCCTTGTATACAGTTTCTCCTCTGCCTTTTCCTGCAGAACAGCTAATTGAATTATCATGAAATGTAATATGCAGAGTAGGGTCAGGAAGTGGTTGCAGTGAGAAATTTGGATCAGAAAGTTTTTTTGGAGAACTCTGTGTGTGTGTGGTATGAATGACTACATCTTCAGTGTATGGGGCAGAACCCAAATTCAAGAAGGAAGTGCTTGATACCAGCTAACAAGCAGTGAAAGCAGGACTGGGACTAGATCTAAATTTGCCTGGGTTGTGAAACTTTTGACTTAACTAGACTTTTCTTCAGTGATGGCATCTGTGTATATGTGTATCTGTGCGTGGGTGCATACAGACACACACACACACACACACACACATATATATATATGTATATATGTTGAAAGACAAAAATTAACAGTTGTTAATTTGCTTTGGCCAGAGGCTGTACAAGTTCACACCTCAGGGTGGCTGGAGTCTGCTGTGTTTTTGCCCACGATTGGCTTTACTCTGTCCATTTCTGAGAATGTGTCTTTGCTCTCCCCAGCCACATGCACTGCAGACAAAGTGCTGTATAACTTGGGTTGCATCGTACTGCAGGAGGCTGTTTTGGATATCCCAGCCAGGAGGGGGAGAGGTTTGACAGCATCCAGGAGGTTCAGCCAATGCCTGCAGGTAATTTTTTAAGGAGCAGAGTGACTGCTGACTTGTGTGGGCAGCTCATTTGCACACATGATACTGACACCATTGCAGTTTTACTGATACCTGATCTATTCCCTATTTCTGCTCTGTTTATTCACAAGGACAGGATTTGTGTTCAGACTCCTCTAGTGCTGCATTTGTTCAGTCGTGGTAGTGATTTTGTACTGTTTCAGAAAAGAGAGTGCTTTAAAGTAAACTAATTTCTGCGGATGTATTTTTCTATATAATCTTTTTTTCCTCAGGGCTCTTCTGTCTAGCTAGTGACAAGTTCTGGCTATGTGCCCTTTCTACAATGAATGTACAATGTATAATTTTGAATGTATGATTTGAGATATGACGATGGTAGATAAGAAACTGAGGATAATGCTGCAGTTACAGCAGTCTCTGGCATACAAGTGACTGCATCCATGTTCACGTTTCTCACATGAAACTGTGCCTCCCTCCTTATAACAGCAGTGTTTTCTATGCAGTCTCATGTAATCAAAAGCATACTTCCAGTTTTCAGCTGTGCCTCTTTCTCATATCTTGAGCTGGAATAAAAACTGTACATGTGTTAGGAAATCTGTGGGAAAATATATGAAGACTTGTGGTGTGATGAAAAGACAAGAATGTCAGATCTGGTGATGGCTACAGCCAGAAAACACTTACAGAAGACCCAGTCTTCTGAACACTTCCTGTTTAGACATGCAAAGGAGTACATTTTCAAAGCTTGGGGTTGGTTTGTGTTTGGTTTTTTTGGGGGAGGGGGTTGTTTGGTTGTCGTCATTTTTTTATTTATTCATTTACTTGACAAGGCGCTTGTAGCATGAAATCTGTAACAGTTTAAGTGACAGGCCCATCCTAAAATTACAAAGCAGGAGGAAGCTTTGCATTGTCCAGTACCCTTCTATGCAAAACTCAGAAAGGCTTGTTTAATGAGTCAACTGTTCACCTTGTCAGTTTGGGTAGAAAGTGATCCCTCTGTATTTTTTCTTTTGCATATATAAGTTCTTACTGCTACAGGCCAGTATTTCAGTTGGCTGTGCATAGCAGTGAATACCACAAAATAGCTTGGAAACAAGCTTAGTAAATTTATATTTTTTGATCTACTGTTAAGTACTTGCAGTAAATACAAATACATCTCTGCACTGACTGAATTACAAATTAAATTAGACATGTTACATTACATTTTCAAAATAAAAATTGCTGTGTTTTTTTCATGCTTTGTCCTTTGAGCTCCTCTAAAAGAGGAGTCTTTAAAAATTTATAAAGGTGTTTTGTTGTTTTGATTAAATCCCTTCTTAAAATGATCAGGAGGTCTAAAAGATACCCAGTCCTTACACTGATAGTGTGGTGAGACTAGTGTGGTCCTGAAGTCCATCAGTTGCCTAAGTTCTTAGATGGTAACCCGAGGGGATAAAGATTGCGCGCTTTGCATTTGTATGTCACGTAACACTGGGCTCTGGTTTATCCTGGGGCTTCTAGATGCGATAATGATGTCTTTTCATAGGTTAGGTTTTCGCAAAATAGGAAGGTGATGTCGGGTTTTGATTTTTATATACATATATATATATATATATATATACACACGTGTATATTCTGTCATAACTACTAATGATACATTTCATAAACTGGAGTAAAAAGACATTTTATAGCTGCAAATTACAAGAAAAATATAGTCTTAGTTTCATGAATTCACATATTTTAGTATCTTATCCTTAATGATGCACAGCTTTATTTTATTTTCTATGCTAAATTGTACCTGAAGACTACAGACACAAGCGAGTATTGAGTAAGCTATTTGCGAATAGGTGGTGTTTGCATTATTACATACCCTATGTCTAATACCATCAAGTTTCTGCCGTGCTTCTAGAATAGTAAATACTGACATTTCTTACTATTTTGACATTTTTCTGATCCATGTTTCTCTGCAAATGGTACCTCTCTAAAAGATTTTGATTTAATATAATAATATTGTAACCAAAATCTGTTCCCTTCGAAAATGTTGGCTTTTTCTGAATGCTAGCAGCTGGGTTTTTTTGCAAAATTATTCTTCAGGGAAATCATCTAAATTCTGTGTTTTCCAGTGTTTTTAAACCCATATTGACTTCATTAGTAGTCTTAAACTGCTGTGAACAAAACAGCTCACATAATCAGAACCTAAGGAAGAAAGAATAATTCACAAAATTATCTCTATTTGACAACGCCGCGTAAAATTAACAAGGTAATGAAACACAGAAGGGCAAACTGTAAGATGATGATAAACCTTAAGGTAACAGTCTATCCCCTGTACAAGTAAACTGTGTGTCTCTTAAACTTCCAAAATCCATCGCTTGGAAAGAGCTTCACAAATCTTGCTACATGGCCAAAAAAAAAACCAACCATGTTAATGACCAGTGCTGTGTCACTGGGTCCTCAGCTGTAAACACAGCTCTGGTGAAATGTGTTCATCTCTGCACAGAGCTCCACAGCAGAGTCTACTTTAGTCTGAATTATCTGGGCAAAAGCCAATTCCATTTGCTCCCATGGACAATGCAATTGCAGTGTGTTCTTTGTGAGAAAGGGCTTAGCCATATACTCATACCATACTCAAAACTTCTGTGTTTTAGACCTCCTGCAATTTTCTCATGTTCTCATGCACTAACTAATAATTTTAAAAAAGCATTAGAAAAAGATAACTGTAAATTCTAGGAAATACAGGAAACATCAGTGTGTGGAGCATCACTAGTAAACCCATATGATATTTGAATACACAAGGTAAATGCATCCAAATACTGAAAGCCAGCAATGATACTCACTCCTCACGAAATAGTAGGGGTTAGGTAAGCTGGGTTTCGTTGGCTAACACAGCTGACCTGAAATACAAGAATTAAGCCCCTTTCCTTGGTTAGTCAGCAGAGAGCACAGAGGATGTTAGTGGGGCAGCTGCGTGGTTACCTGCTGAGATGGGCGCTGGCAGTTTCCTGTGGGTGGATGCAGGCTCCAGAGGTATTTATACAGGCACGCACCTGGAAGGAGGACTTCTCTGTTGCAGCCAGTGGGGTTGCAGGCTATTTACAGGAACATTACCACACAGCACTTGAAGAACTTACTGTGTTACGCTAAACTCTTCACGTTTATGGTACAAAACAAAAACGCTCTCAGGCTTTGAAGTCCCAGTCACAGAATCACAGAATATGAGCGTGCCAGCCTTCAGGAATCAAAACCTTTGCCTCCACCAACCTCTTGTTCTGCTTTTGCAGATTAATATTTCCCTGCATTCGCATTACGGTCAGCGGTGCTGCCCCGAACAAGCAACGTACCGTGGGCAAGCTAGCACATAAATAACGCGTGTGGCAGCTGGCAGTAGCCCAAAGGCGGAGAAAAGTTCATGGAGCTCCCGCTGCCAGGAAAAGGTCACGTCTGCCTTGCCCCACTGAGCGTCGCTGGGGAAGCTCTGGGTACGCGCTCCTGCCCTGACTCACAGGAAGCTGACAGCGCTGAGGAAATGACAGCTTTCCCACTGGTCATAAGCATAGGAAATATTCTGAAAGAGAGTGGAAAAATGAAAATCACATTTTCATCAGAAAAAATATTGTAGTTGTTTTAAAATGAATATTACATATGTTGGAGATAAACTAAATATGTATGCCTTACACATTTCAAGAATTTGAGAGTTTTAGATGCACTTTGCTCACTTTCTGCCTTAGAAAAGATTCTACAGAAAGAAATCCAACAGGAGGGTAGAAAAATTTTAAAGGCAACTTTGAAAGTCACAAAGCTAGAAAACACCACCTGACTAATGAATGAACAACTGAAGGCTGGGAGCAGAACTAAGCAGAGAGGTGGAAAATAGGTTTTAACT